GACTGGACAGTGGACTGGTCTGCATCTTCCTTTATAGTACCTGAAAAGGAGAAGCTATAGGGGTGTGAGTTAAACCACGTGCTCAGTGAATATACATGTTGTATATGAAATGAAAATGATAATAATACACTGAAGTATGTAGATGTTACGTAGATACACATATCAAACAACAACAACAATCTAATTCTAAAGAATTCACAAGTCACATCACTTTCATACTATCCCTCATCGGGTAATCGTTCCCACATGGATCTGTGTCTCCCGAACCTCACGGGAACACCACAGTACTAGCACATCATTGCACGCCCAGTGATTAGGCATCGATGCCCCTGTCTCAAACTGTGCACCACATTCTACAATACATAGTACACAGTACAAAACATCATTCAATCACATAAGCATGTAGCACATAATCCTGGATAATTCTTATTAAATTCTATCATTTTTTATCATCTTGTAATAGTATTTTCAAAACATATAAAGATATAAACCCACCTCAAATGTACAGATCTACGGCCTTTCGGTCCTATCGATGGATCCTTTCGGTGTTACCGTATCTGTTACAATACCGACTGTCTCACCCGTTCCTCCTAACACATGTGTAATTACAATATCAATATGTTTGTCACATTTAATAGTTAATCATGCATTAATGCATGCAAAATGATGCATCCCAAAGTGTTTCGGTAACTTCGGTTACTGCACTATCCACTCACACACACTAGCACTTTTGTTCTAAGGATCACATTTTCTCCTCAAATCTACAAAATCATTCACATTAATCACAATTTGGATTTAGTAGGTCAAACACATTGACCAAGGGCTCATTTTCACACATTTCGACTCCGAATCCTAAAAACTGCACTTCCGGCATTTCATACATTTCGTACCGAATATTGTACTCATTTGTATTTGAAATTCACATTATCACATCAAGCATCATTTAAAAATGTAGCATGCAAAATTTCGGGTCATTTGGATTAAAATTCACACGTGATAATAACATTTAGAAATCAAGGTTTTAGCGTTACCGGCATCTATTTCCAATTTCCTATTGTACGTTTCTTTTAAAACAATTATATCTAAACTCACTCACTCACTAAATCATGCAAAACAGCCCCCTATTTGCACCCTTAAACTTTTCATTTCACTCTCATAATTTCGGTTCCATCCTAGCTCATGAAAAGCGTACTGAACATCTCAAATGGTTATTTTCCACACTTTTCTCACACCCGGTTGAATACCTATTTAAAATCCATGTTTAACAGCCCCCAACTTATGTTTAATACACTTAATTTAAACTGACAAAAATCTGTTTTGACATTAAAATAAAACAGCCCATAAAATTAACTAAAACATTCCACACTTTTCTCACACCCGGTTGAATACCTATTTAAAATTCATGCTTAACAGCCCCCAACTTATGTTTAATACACTTAATTTAAACTCACAAACATCTGTTTTGAAATTAAAATAAAACAGTCCATAAAATTAACTAAAACAGCCCATACATAACACACACACACATGCTTAAATTTTAATCACACATGCACACACTCTTACCTTCACCCTCTTTTTGCTTTCTCTCACTTTTGATTTGGCATGGAGTCCCCCCCAAATTCCTTCCTATTCTTCCCTCTCTTCTCCCTCTCGGTTTGAGCTAGAATCACTCACCAAGGCTTGTTTCCTCTCTCCCTCCCTCCCTCTTTGCTCACGGCTCGAGAGACAAACACAAAAATGTTTTCTTCTTTCACTTTTACTTTCTCTCACTCTCAGTTTTCAGCAAGAAAGAACACACACACACACACACTGTTTTATGCTTTAAACACACATTTCTACACCATTAATTACATACACACATACTCCACACCTTAAACACACACACTCACACTGGGCACACACACACAGCCACTTAGCTTGGAAAATGACTCACCTACTTCATGTATCAACACAAGTAAAGTTGACTCATCCTAATGCAATAATTACACTTGCCTTCCCCCAAGTTCTTAAGTAATTTCGAAATTGACCCACTACTATTTTCATACATAAATTCCATCTAATAAATAATTTCACATAATTGTAATTAGACCACATAATTATGCAAATATGTATGCAATGCATGATTGGGTCTCACATTTAAGGTGAATTTCTTGTGTTAGGAGATCAGCATGACTACAGTTCTAGCTATAAATGGGGTTTATAACACTTGTATTTTCTGAATGCCATCCTGTAGTCAAAACTAATATCTTGTCAACTCCACTCCTTCCTTTTTTTTGTCTTTTTTTTTTTTTCCTCTCATGGTATGTGTCTCAAACTGTTCTCATGAATCTTATTTAAGCAATGATGGTGGTAATGCCTCGAAGAGTAATGTGATTTATTGCATGTGGCTCTCAGCCAAGAGATAACTGATGGGGTCACCAAATCTGCTCAAGCTGTGCAAGCGGCAGAAGCTGGAATTCGACAAATAGGTTCTCTTGCTCGCCAACAGACAATTTGTACGTTTCTGCTCTTTTGCATTTGGTTTGTCTGACCCTTCCTGCTTTTATTCTGTATTTGGCGGAAATGAATTGTAAGTGAATGCTGTCCGTTTGTGTAAACAGCAATGATTCAAGAGAGGGCAAGCCTACCCATCATCTCTTTGCAACCAGTTGTAGCTGGGGCTGCGAAGAAGACTTCTCATGCTGTTGGCCAAGCCACAAAGTCTTTCATGAGTATCATCTCTCGAGGTGAGTTTAGCCAGGTGAATGAAGACGGGAATACGGTGGAGAGGTTAGAAAACTAAAATATTTACGAGTATCAATTTTTTGTGTGGAGGCAGAGATAAAAAAAGGTTAGGTTTGTTGGTATATCATAAGCATTGTACGTTCACTACATGCAATGTGCAGACGTNAGTAAAATATTTACGAGTATCAACTTTTTGTGTGGAGGCAGAGATAAAAAAGGTTAGGTTTGTTGGTATATCATAAGCATTGTACGTTCACTACATGCAATGTGCAGACGTATGTAAGGAATTTTAATTGTGTATNACTAAAATATTTACGAGTATCAATTTTTTGTGTGGAGGCAGAGATAAAAAAAGGTTAGGTTTGTTGGTATATCATAAGCATTGTACGTTCACTACATGCAATGTGCAGACGTATGTAAGGAATTTTAATTGTGTATATATTACTTTTGTTTCTCGTATGGGATGGACAATGGACTTATCTTGCAAAATTTTGATTTTCGTTGAAATTGTTTGAGATTGGTTGGTGAGCAGTTACTCATGTAATAATTTGTGAATGAGCCAAAAACGTATCCAGATAGGTATGTGTAGACCATAATTGGAACAAAGGTAATCCATTAGTATAAATTCCTGCTTCTTGTTATGGATAGTGTGTATGATGANGTGAGCAGTTACTCATGTAATAATTTGTGAATGAGCCAAAAACCTATCCAGATAGGTATGTGTAGACCATAATTGGAACAAGGTAATCCATTAGTATAAATTCCTGCTTCTTGTTATGGATAGTGTGTATGATGATACATTAACTTCAGAGCATATAGCTCAGTTAGTGGACTTAGTATGAAGATAATTAGTGATTATAATGTTTGATGTTGACTGTTAGTATTCAACTTTACTTTTGAAGGTGCAACTATTTCCTTATAGTCAAATTCCTTCGAATCTAGACCGGCTTTGTCCTTGTCTTTATTCTTCCATCTATGCTTAGCAATGTTCCAAGTAAGTTGTACCGTATATTTTCTTTTGTATTTGCATGATATTGAGGTTGTGTCAGAGCTTTAGTTTTGCACAGTAGGATAACATAGAAAATTGCTTAATTTATCAAATGTACACNAACTAGACGAGCTTTGTCCTTGTCTTTATTCTACCATCTATGCTTAGCAATGTTCCAAGTAAGTTGTACCGTATATTTTCTTTTGTATTTGCATGATATTGAAGTTGTGTCAGAGATTTAGTTTTGCACAGTAGGATAACATAGAAAATTGCTTAATTTATCAAATGTACACTTTCTTTTCTATTGTTCAGATGCTTCTCGAACATTACATCTATCAAGCACTCTTAACAGTTCCAAAATCTCATACCCTAATAGCTCTACAGGTTTCAACAACTTCTTGTACTTACCGTCAAACAACTTACTTTGAAGTCAATTATGTTGTTGAGTCAAGTAACGAGGATGTTTCATGTAGGATATTGTAGTTCTCAACGATTCTGATGATGTATCATAGTTACAAGTTGGGCACGCCATATCTTTCATTCATTTTCATGAATGAAAANTGTGGTCAAACAACTTACTTTGAAGTCAATTGTGTTGTTGAGTCAAGTAACGAGGATGTTTCATGTAGGATATTGTAGTTCTCAACGATTCTGATGATGTATCATAGTTACAAGTTGGGCGCGCCATATCTTTNTACCGTCAAACAACTTACTTTGAAGTCAATTATGTTGTTGAGTCAAGTAACGAGGATGTTTCATGTAGGATATTGTAGTTCTCAACGATTCTGATGATGTATCATAGTTACAAGTTGGGCACGCCATATCTTTCATTCATTTTCATGAATGAAAATTGTAAGATATAAGTATGGGTCATATACTATATGAGTTGCTCATATTGGCTTAAGTGTTGAAACAATTAGTTGCCCACCCTAGCCGNCGCGCCATATCTTTCATTCATTTTCATGAATGAAAATTGTAAGACATAAGTATGATGGGTCATATACTGTATGAGTTGCTCATATTGGCTTAAGTGTTGAAACAATTAGTTGCCCACCCTAGCCGAAACATTTAAGTAGATCTTGGGTAAGTGCAGAGCCTTGTAAATTTACTTATTTCTATGCTTAGCATCGGTTGGATGCCTCCACACATGTCCATCATCCTTGCTCTCGTCATTGTGCTGCCTCTTATCTGTTGCAGTCTTAGTTGACTTGTAGACACTTTGCAACCTTGATTTCAATGAAAAATAATACAAGATCAATAATACAAGATCTTATGAGAGATCTTCGTATCTTTGACCTTGTGGACTCTTTAACTAGAAATCCCATATTTTGGAAAGTTTTCTTGATTATAATTCTTCGTCCAAAGCAGTGTGCATTAATACTCTCATGAATGGATGGGAGATGTANCAATAATACAAGATCTTATGAGAGATCTTCGTATCTTTGACCTTGTGGACTCTTTAACTAGAATCCCATATTTTGGAAAATTTTCTTGATTATAATTCTTCGTCCAAAGCAGTGTGCATTAATACTCTCATGAATGGATGGGAGATGTATTCCCTTCCCAAAGCTCGTAAGAATTTCTTAGGATCATAAATGGACTCCATCACTACGTGACGTTCTAGTAAAGCATACTCCAATATCTCCAACAACACATTAAATGAATTATTGCTACACTTGTTTAATACGTTCACATGAATAATTTTATCACGAACGATAAAAAAATAGTCTTTATGTAGCCCCAAATAAATCTCACACTAATCATCCTTCACTAAAATTTCAAAATTCCGCACATCCTCTCTCTTACCACTATCACTAGCTTTCCAAATTGCCTTGATTACTATCAATAAAAGTCCTTATTTCTATCTTCCAACAGTTTGGGTAATTCACCTGGAATATCGACTTTAATGTCTATGATTTAATCCTAAACACTTTAGCCCTCATCACCGTGATGTATCCATACTATGTAAGAAGTTATAATGTATTTTACAGCACATAATTTTTCACAGTTCCTTCAGTTTGTCATTCTATATTTATGCAGTTCTTCTATGGGCATCAATGTTTTCCATCCCATCATATTCATAGCATTTCGAATTGAATAAATTACTGCACCACATCCTATTCCCATACAATCTTTGCCCAAGTGTTATCCAACTCTTGCCATTTCAATTCAATTTACCACATACAGGAAGCTTTGTTAATATGATGCATTAGAGTATTAGACCCACCAACTTATCCTGCTTAGGAATTCACTTTTTATATTCTATGAAGCATCTCGTACCACTTTTTCCATCTTTGATGAAAATCCAACATCTTCCTTCAGTTCTCCAAGTACATGATATTGATCAGGTGTACTGGAACACCAAGTCTAGTTTGCACCCAGAGAAAAAAGGATCTGCCACCCAGTATATGTGAGATATAGCTAGTTCAGCTCAGACACGGTAACTACATGTGCATTCTCGAGCATTAACCCGACGAAGTGATCAGATGAATAAATTATTAGTTCAACTATTAGGTCACTCATTAGACTGGTCATATAATAAAAAGTTTAAAAATAATTATTAACAACAATAAATATGCTATAAAAATATTATAATTATAATAAATATGCTTCTTTGGCTACCCAACTGAAGAAAAGCTCAACTTAGGTGGATTAGGCATTTGATTTAACTAGATCATGCACACGTACTTTGCATGTGAATTGTTTTAAAATATAGTTTTTGTTTCAATTTTATTTTTGTAATTGTTGAAATAATGATGTAAATACAACACTGTATAAATACTTATAAATAAATCAATGTAGTAAACTTTTTATAGTTCGTACGATTTATACTGGAATATTTTCAGAAAGAATATATATATCGCATATTGTAATATGTATTTGTGTCATTACAATGATATTGTAAATATAATTCAGATAAATTATTAGTTTCATGTCAAAATTTCTAAATCTTAGGAGATAACTTTATAAGAAAATAATTACTCAAAACTATAGGAGCTAATAGAAAAAAAAAATAAAAACTAATATATATATATATATATATATATATATATATATATATATAACAATTAAACAAAAACACAAACACTTATTGAATTGTAAAAAAAACACATAAACAAAAAGGGCTTTTAAGTTATGGTGCCCATACAATCATATAACATTAAAAGAAAGTTAGATTGTAAAATAAAATAAGCAATTTAGTTAGTTACGGTAAGCAAAACAATTTAATCATGAACATTCATAGTATTAGTGTAACGCCCCGATTTTTTTTTTTTTTTTCATTTCGGAGACGTTAATTGATATAAAAACATCCAAATAAAAATAACAGAGAACTAATTGTCCCAATAAAATTTTATTTATCAAAATTATCTCCCAATACAAATAAATCTATCGATATAAATAAATCTCTCAACAGGATTAAAACATCAATTCCATCGACACCTCCTCGTCTTTAATACTCTGATTATCTCGTTCCGATCTTTTCTCTAAAATCAACCTGAAAATATTAAATAAAGCGGGGAAGTATACAATATGACAAAGAAAAATATGCTCAAGGACATTGAATAACAAATAATCAAGTATCACAAAGTATCTCAATCAACAGATACAAATAGCATATTTGCATATCACACGTCATGCAAAATCTTAAAACCGATCTGACACCTCATCAATCATCCCACCTCAACCCGATCCCACGGGTGTCTTGGTTGGCGATGCACCGGTTATTGACTGTCACAATCCCGTCTCAATATTCGCAGAACACGATTAATGAGATCAAGAACACGATCAATGAGATCAAAATATTCAACGATATTTAATCGAAATTCCAAAATAATGATAGTACAAGTTGGAATACAAATCAAAGAATAATCAAAAAAATACTCTTTGCAAAGAGATTTAAAGAGAGTATATTGTATACTACCCCGTACCTCATAATCATTATTTGAATTCGATAACTTTGATTTTCGTTTCATTCATCTTATTTTCGGGTAGCCCTCTACTTCCCATTTTCCTCTTCTTTGTTTCTGCCAGATAACTCCCTATATGTCTCTCGGTTTATCTTTCAAGAC